CACCTCCAACCAAGTGGGTTTTTTCCAGTAATTCTTTCGTGGAGAGTAAGGCGCAGCTAAAAGGGATAAAAAGATTCCGATTGAGATTTTGTCAGGCAAAGTTTAAACAAATAACTGTAGATGCTTCTGATCTTTCTGCTTCCGGTTAGTAGGAAGGTATTTTTATGGCGAGTCCTTCCGCGATGTTTGAGCTGTTTTGAAAAGAGTGAGCAAAGGGCTTTTTCTCTCTCTAGGAGGGAGAGGCCTTTAGTTTCTCTCTTGTTTTTCCTTGAAATTAGGTATTTGCATCAATTTAATTATTACACCGATGATAATGCGACCCGATCACCCGCCCCTGGGCTGCTTCAAGAGTGAATGTAATTTAATCATAGCGCCAAATAACCGATTATTCGTATACTAAGTCGATGCAGTCTGCACCCACCCTGAGAAGTAGATGTACTAACACTAGTAAAGAAAATGACAACCATCAGTTCTAACCCGCTTAATTTTTAGGTGAGCTATGTTAAAGGAGTTGACTGGTATCTCATAACGTCATTTCTGTTCATTTTCCTCTCGTTGGTTGAGTGTGTTGTGGTAGAGAAGCTGGAATCTTCAGCCAGTAAAGAAAGAGCATCCAAGGAAAGCGGTCAGGAAAACGAAGACCTGGTAATAAAAGTCTTTTGTGGCACACTGGTTAAATTTCGCCAAAAAAGCACTTTGATGCTTTTAACTTAAGAAACATGAGAGCTAACCTTTGAGCTGGTTGGGGAGCGAGAGACGAATGAGCAGTAAAGCAGAACTTCTAAATGTAAATGTAACGAGAAACCCTAGACTTTGAAAAAAGTCCTTCTTCGGATTTCATATGGACCTCTCGCAACTTCGTCGCTCGTGGTCGGCCGCTTCGCGGCCAAACGAGGCTCGCTCCGCTCGCCAAGAGGTCGACTTGTAGCAAGTCTACGAGAAACCCCAGCAAGCGAGGAAGATTGAGGAAGTCTATTCCTCACGGCCGGGCAAACAGAAAGAGACAATTCCCCACCCTCGAGCTCCTAATCAACCTCATATACGTTTTTTTGCCGGTACATCTTTTTGAACTGTACAAACGCAAAACGAGACGTTTTCACAACTTTTATAAACGTTTTTCAGAGTTTATTGAAAGAAGGATAATGGCTGTCATAATGCAGTAAAATAATGAAAACGAAAACGGAGATGAAAAACTCTTTAAAAAGCGCCTCCTTGATAGAACACTTCATAAGAACACTGGACCGAATCTCTGTTTATCTATATATATCAAAACCCTTGTATACATTTTCATATAAGTTTTCTTATCATTAAAGCTAGGCTGAAAAAATATTTCTGTCCTTCTTTTCCAGAAATATAATCCATTCGAGTACGCATCATACGCTCATTCGTTTCCTATTTTAAAACAAACCTTTAGATACAGACTTTAATTTTGATAAGTTATTCCTCTCCAACTACTCTCCGACAAATTCCTGCGTTTTCCTTGAAAATACGTAGTCTTGAGGTCCGCGGCCATCGTGTAAACCGCGCGAAAAATATAACGTACTACGCAAAATCAAAGAGACGATTTTTTTATTTGCCCCACCGCCCTACCCTTTGGACAGGACCGCTTCAAACAATTCCCAACCCCCGGGCTCGAAGGCTGGACTTGTCCCGGGGGTTGCCCGGGGGGGGGGGATGGTAACGGGTCAAATTGAACCATGCATAACGAACCGAGTGAAGGTAAAGGAATGGTGGTTAACGAGAGGTGGTCCTATACGTCGTAGGTTCAACTTTAGGCCATGCAGTATTGCATTCGGTATTATCTTCTCATAGAGAAAAACTTGTGTATATTTGTCCCCAGAGTGCTTCCCAGCAGCCGTCCAAAGAGAAGAAAGAGCAGCCTACTCTTCACGGAAATGTTCCTGAAATCTTTTGCAGGTAAGGCACCTTTTTTTTTTGTATCGACATAACATAGACATTTGTAGTGAGAAAAGGGAAACAACAGGTTACCGTGCGCGACTGTCGGGGCTTTATCTGGCGGCTCACTAACCCGCTGCGTGATCAACGATTCTTTTTTTTCGAATTGTGTATGTTATATGTAATTTAATTATTTTTCCTTCATTTATATGTAAAAACGGCAAAAAAATAAAAAGAATCAACAAACAATAAACGATAACTGAAGATAATTTATACAACAGGATAAATTATAGTTAATGTGATAACCATAAACCCGCCCTTACCAGTAATGGAACCAGCTCACTTCCGGCATGCGACCCCTGTCACACTGTTTGTTTCGCTCAGCCAATTAGATGCCAGCTATCACGTGTACAGTTGATGCCTATATTTTCGCGCCTAGCTCAGCAAAATAGCACTTCATATTCTTCTCTTCGTGGGACAAAATCAAAAAAGGGCAAAAATGAATTAGTTTAGTGTATCAGTCTTCAGTCTAATCTAAGGCTAAGTTCACACCATACCGGAGAGCTTTTGCGCAGCCGCACCAAATTCATATCATATAGGGTTTCTGTTCACACATAAGAACGTTTGTCGCTGCGCGATTTCTGTAACGGAGCGAAGCTGCGTCGCACCGATCTCAAAAGTGGGGAGTCATATATCGAATATAGTGTGAACGTAACCTTAGTTACTAAACAAAAGAAAGTTTTCCATATAAGCTTCAGGTAGAACCTTATTCCCAAGCTGTTTTATGTGCAAGTGGGAGTTACAGTCGAAGTGAGAAAACCTTACGGCTCTCAGCTAGAAAATAGGCTGCACAAATTTTGTATATGTTAGACTGTTTATACCCTATTTGATCTCAACAACTGAAAAAAAAGGAACAGGACAAATAGCGCGTCCTAGCGCCAAGCGCGAGGAGTCTTTCAGTTTGCGCCTTTAATCTAGCAACGAGAGAAAAATAATCCTTACTTTGAGAAATGAGTCATACAGTATTGCACACGTGGGCTTCAGAATTACGATCATGCTCACTAACTTACTTACTTACTTTTAAGTTAAAACTACTTCCCTTCTTGAATACGTACTTATTTCACTTACTTCACTTGCTTAGTGTCTTACTTAGTACTTACTTTCTTACCTTCTTACTTACTTGCTTACTTACAATTCAATAGCATAGTGATTAGTTATACAATAAAATAGAAGAATGTGAACAGTCTAGTTTGTTTTATATTTGTTCTTCGGGCTTTGTTACCAACAGAAAAGACGGTTTGTCGAAGATATCAGATGGTTCTCGCGTGAAACCTAAAAGAGTACAAGTACTTCCAGTGGCAAGTGAAACACCAGCTTATAATCATTATGAAAAGGGATGGCTTTCTCAGATCAAGAGCAAATTCTTACCTGTTGGTGAGAAACGGAAAGCGAAACCGCTGAGCCGTGCCCAAAAGATCGATATGGCCTCCCGAGTATTGTTTCCCTTTTTGTACGTTGTGTATAACACTGTATACTGGTATATTTACTTGAATGGCGTTGAAATTCTAGCATGAGACGTTTGCATATATATCATTCTTGTCATTATTTACATGTATAACAGCTACATCAGAAATTACCAGAAGCAGTATTGGGCAAACAAAGCTAATACAGAGCAAGGAATTGTCTACGAGGTCCGGGTTGAGACCCTTGTTTTACTCTTTCATATTATACTTATGACCAAAAGGGGTTAATTTCAAGTCTCAACTTTCATTTTTACCTTTCATTCAATGCCCTCGTTTGGACATAATGCATTCAACACTCAGTATAAAAGGGATAATGCCTTTCGTTTTCTTTGACTGAGAAGATGGTACCCCTTTCATAAAACTACAGAAAGATTTTACTAAATGGATCAGCAGTCATTAAGGGTACGGTCAGGATACATGTTTTGCAACATTGCTACAAAACGAGTTGAAAAGCGATATTGTGTATTTTCCCGCTCATTAATCAAACCTGTCTTGCAACAAATCAGATCATTGGAGGTAGTTCTACAATTTGTAACAAAACTTTTGTTGCCCATTTTACCGGCTCAAGACAAACTCTTTTTGCAGCAATTGACGTAATTCCCGTGTAGGGAGTAACTCCCGCGAAATTTTGTCCAGTCAGAAGCCAGTATTGATTTGTTGCACGACAGGTTTGATTCGTGGATGGTAAAGCGCACAACATAGCTTTTCAACTCGTTTTGCAGCAATGTGGCAAAAAAACGTTGCACGTTTCCGTTGTCCGTTTTACTGCAGTTTAAATGCGTCTCTTCGTGACACTTCCAAAGACTCAAGTACCAAATGTTAGTTTTTTCTACATTCTCAGCTTGTAAAATTCCCATCCCCGCTCTGTTTACACGAGTTGTTGTCTTTTGAACTAAACGTAAATGTAGTTTTGCAGTATATGCAGGTGTATCCTCTGTTACCCATTTTATGGTACAACTGGCGTAATCAATCAATCGGGAGGATTAAAGCGAACTTAAATTTAAGGGGAGTTATGCACGTTGTTCAATTCCCCTGGGAACAACCTTGGCAACAGCAAAGACGAGTACACACAGGTTTACATAAACATTTTATACTCATTTTAAAAATTTGGGAAAAAGTCTGTCCAGGCTAATGTACTAACGTTCTTTGCAAATTAAATTATAAAAGTTACAATCATAAACTCACAATAATATTTGGATATTGAAATTACAAAATATTCCAAATTTAAATCTAGCTGAAAATATACAAATTCATTCATCACATATTTTTCTTTAAGTTACGCAAGTGACTTTTAGAGTACTTGTCTTCCTTAGCTCTCCAGACTTCTTTTAGGGGGGTTTTAAATGAGTAACATTTTATAGTAATTTGATCTTCTTTCTGTTCAGTCTGTTCGAAACAAGGATTGTTTGCCAAACTCATTCGTTTACATTATACAATACTGCCCCTCTTTTTGGATTCAACAGGCTTAAAGCAAGCCATAACCAAAGAAACGATCATTTGTACTTGTTTGCAGCGTCTTTACACTAACGGTCTGTGCCCTCGACTTTTCGCTGCGACTCGTCGTTTAGTGCGCGACAAGCTTTAGGTAAAAGGCATTTTGCACGGCTGAGTTGACGTTTCGCTAAAACGTCCGTGTAAAACATCTATCAGATTAGAGCTAGCCCACAAAGCTACTGGTACTGCGTTCACAATCGCCACTAGAATGTGTCTTCCCCATCTTGTGCACCAAACGGCCATGACGGGCATGTTTTGATAACGAGTCTCAATTGCCAGGGATAAGCTGGTGAACACCCATTCAATCGCAAGGGAAACTGTGGTATGTATTGCAAATGACTGGAATAAAGTTTTGAAGGGCTCTTCACCTGTGTAGACAAATTGATACAAGTAGAGGCACCCATTGACCGACACTATAGCAGTCGATTCGTATACCATACCCATAATAGCGATATCAGCCGTTAGTCTCTCACGACGAGCAGTACGAAAACTTTTCCATGGAACCACTGCTCTTTTACACAGCACGTAACAAATATGATCAATGAGAACCATCGTGCTTCGTTCAATGACTTCTGCAGCGCCGTGAATTATTCCCAGAATGGCGATGGAGCGTAAACTATCAAGTTCCGCTTGCAAGACTCGAAAAACGATAGCTGAGCCACAGTACAGCGGCGACAATAAGACATAAGAATACCCCGGGTGAGTGATATTATACAACTTCTGTACACACAAACGCGAGGCTACTTTGAGAAAAACTCCAATGAGGGGGGCGAAGACCGCAATTAACAATTTTTTCTCCGCAGTTTCTCTGTTGTATATGGGATATACCACGGACGTGACAAGAACGAATACCAGAAAAACAACACAGCTTGGTACAACTATTTTAAAGAACAAAGCTAATTTCTTTTGAGCACTTGTGCAGAAGGTATTCGTTAAAACACAAACTTGAAAGCTTTGATTGAGAAGAAACAAAGCATTAAGTGGAATTTTCAAGGGAAAAGTAATGCGAGAGTGCGATAACCCACTAGCCTGGAGAGCAACACGATAACTTGTGTCCAAAGAATAAGTCAGAACGCAAATCAACAGCAACTTTCCTCTCACACCGGTTAATTGAAATGGACGAAATAGAAACTGCACAAGTGCAAAGAACCAAATGTATAAAAAACCGCAAGACACTACATCAGAGATTGATCTTAACCATTGTATTTGTATTGAGGTTGAGTTCATGGGCTGGAACTCACAATTCTGCACAGTTTTAAATGAGAGATAAGTAACCATGATGTATATTGTTCCTATGAAGATAGCCGTTACAACTGAAATCAAGGCTCCCGTGTACATTGATTTACAAACTGTTCGAAGAGCAGATGGTCTCAAACGTTTCCAGGCCATGGTGCGGTTCTGGTCATATTTCTCCTCCTGATCGTTTTCCTCCAATGAACACGCATTGATGACTCTTACGCTCAGTCGCCCTCTCGTCAGATAGTTTAAGCTTGCAGGTTCTCCATCGCTGTATTCTTGGTAAATAAATTCTTCTACAGGATGACGGTACCATTCCCGTCCGGTGCTTTCCAAAGGAGTGTAGCCAAATGATTCTGCTGTAAATTCAGGTTCGTCTGGATCAAAATGGTCGGCAACTCCACGGGTGAAACTGAACAGGATGTGACCAAACACCTCTAACAGTGCACTGCTGCTCATCTCTGGGGGTACTCTCTTACATTTACTGTAATGGGAATATCACATGGTCAGATAGTTAAGACTTTGGACCTGTTCTAGAAAAAAAAGAGAGATGAATTTACGACTCTGCTCCGGACAATGTTCATAAAAAGAGGCCTAGGAATCCTCATCCTGTGACCGGCTCAGTGATATACGACGAGGGGAGCATTGTTTCTCACCTAAGCTTGTTAAAAAATATAGTCAGAGGTTATCGGGGAAAAATCAACCCTGTTCCAGAGTAAATATGAAGTAAAATATACCCCAGTTCTTCAAGGTTTTAGGGAAAAGTTATATATCTCGGAAAAATTGTGCAAATCTCGTTCCTGAATGAACCGTTTTGGACTTACATACGGTCTTCACTTATAGGCCCTTTGCAGCCTTGTTAGCCAATTAGGGTGATATTTCGTACTTGGATTTGTGAAAAGGTGGCTCTTTCGCCCTTTTGTACCTCAACAGGAACTTAAAGCAACGACTACGGAAGCGTCTAGTTCGGTGACCGGGAAGAAATTTTTCCCCCACGCGTCAATGCTTCACGATAGCAAATGACTTCGCTTTTTATCGCCGTCGTGGTACTTTTAACTCCCTACTTGAGGCATACAGGAAAAAATTACCGTACTAAACGTTTCTATAGTCATTGCTTGAACTCCCTAATGACTCAAATTAGCCATAATATAAAATAAGAGTGCCGCCCTAATGGTTTGTCTCTTATCTCCTAGCTATCTCCTTAATTTTCCCTTTCTTTTCCTTCTGTCACGGTCAGCTGTGCAGTGAGATCTTCGTTTTCAATTGTCGTTATTTCAATCAAAGGGCTGCAATTTCGCTGGCTACGTTTTCTAAAATCCAACTAGACCCTGAAGCCTTCAGTTAATACAACTTATTTGCCACCTCCTACATCCTTATACACCCTCGTATTTTTCACATATATAAGACGTGATGATCCTGATCCAGTGGGGTCCAGTTTTCAGATTAATTATTTCATGCAGGGAATGAATAATTGTTAAGTATTGTGAAATCACATTTAACTCCTAGTATGGTAAGTGCACGATATACCAAGTGACGTAAGTCTCGAGTGATGTCACAACACTGTTTCCATGCTCTTAAACAATAACATATAAACTTCACACAATAGAACGACACAAGATTGTATACATTAACTTAGTATATCGAGCATCAACCCCCCTAGTACTTACTCAAGTCCCATAAACACACTGACACCAAAAACAAGCAGTAAGAGAGAGAAGTTCACGAAGAGTACTTCTAGCAACGTAAGCAGTTTAAGGATTCATCTACACTAAGCTTAAGGTGCAAATATATAAATCACTTTCCAACATCATAAAACTGAACGTCTTCAGATTCACTGGGAATAATATAATGCATCGGATGCAAGAAGGAAGTAGCTCAAGGTTCATGAATTTTAACAAAAAGCCATAAAAATATCAACAACATTTCGTTTTCCGAAATTAAACATTTGTCGGTCTATATTTGAGCCGTAGTTGATGAACTGAGACGAACAGAGGCTGTTACTTTTGTTAAAATTTGATGAATTGTTACTTCAAAAATAACACCATGATCTTCCTGTTAAGATCACGGAAAAGACTTCAAGAGTTTTAAAACACAAATGGTACCGCATTCAGGTACCAATGGTACCGGTATGGATTCCGGTACCAGTGGTGCCGGACTCACAACACAAGACACGGGATGTTCCAGTTTGTTATTTGTTCTTCTGCCCAGTCAAGAACTATTGTTTTTTCTTCACAAATGGTAGGCCCTCCGACTCAGTTTTCTAGTAAAATGATCGCCCATCCTTAAAAAGACTGCGCATGCTTTAAGGACTCTGAGCTTAAGCAGCGACGGCTGTGACTGTAACTGAAAAGAGAAGACACGGAAGGTTTGAAAATCGCATTTTAATTACCAAAAATCCTGATAATTTAGCGAATTTCTTTAAGAATTATCGCGGATTTGAGAGGCTCAGTATCTCAGAGAAGAAAAGCAGTGTTCACCCTTTACATGTATCCTGATGCACGTGGCAGTAGGGCTTAATTAAAATCACTTGGCTGCTAGCCTGCAATGTAGGCATATTTTTAGGGTGGGCGGAAGTTACCTCTCTGTGTACGTGTTGCCGTGGCCGCCATCTTTGATTTTACCACTGAGAAAGCTTGGAGAGGGCAGAAATAGCAACCCTTGGGTCAACCTCGTCCCCAGGGTTTTCCCCGCCTATCTGATTTTTTTTAGGGAAAGCCCCGGGGACGAGGTTGACCTTGGGTAAGGCTGGTTAGAGCAAAAGAAGGAGGAATGGTAATAGGGGGGAGCGAACAAGAAAATCTCTGGTTGTTTACCATTTACAGTGGTAAACCGGTCGGTTAAAGGGTTGGGTAAACGGTCAGAAAAATTCAGGACTGGTGAATTTCGTCCCGGAACCGCGTTTAGCATTTGCACAAATCAATTCCATTTACCGAGAAACGGCCTCGAATGCCTGAAACTAGCTATAGTATCAAAGATGGCTTTGAAGAAATGAAACACAAATTTCCATTTGGAACCTTCACTGTGGAAATACAGGACTACCTCTTCAGACCGGCGTTAAAATTCTCCTGAAAATTTTCCACTGAACTGACCGAAAATTAAGTCGTGTTCCATTTTTTTTCCAACCGGATTTTTCGGAAACTTCTTATTAATGGTAAACAACCTCTCTCTCTTCTCTCTTCCGGTTTTACAGTGATATGGGCATCCCCACGTTTTGAACATCCCCATTTCCAAAATGATACGGGCATTCCCTGTAACCCTAACCCTAACCCTAACCCAAATCGCTAAGAAAATATGAAAAGCGGATGCCCATATCACTAGGGTTTTGAGAATTGGGATGCCCAAAAAGAGGGGATGCCCATGTTACTGTAAAACCGGCCCTTTCGATTCCTTTCCAGGCCCCTTTCACTAGCCCCAACTCCTCTACTTTCTTGGAATTCAACATGACGGTTACAGGGAGCAGAAATATACGCGCACCCGAAAAAACCGTCTGCTACTTGGCGGCCGCCCCCCTCCCCACTTTTTTTTCCAATCCACTTCTCGTTGTCTGGGATGGAACCGAAGCGAGCTTTGGTATACATATAGTCCTTACTTCGCAGCCAATTATTCAAGCCTGCAGGAAACTTTCTTACATTATAACTATTTAAGTTTCAGGAAATGAATAACTACGTACGGTCTTCGATCTGTTTAAATTCAAGGATATGAGGATATAACACTATCGAGTATTCCATTCAAGTAAAACTCTCACATTTCGCCTTGTTCTCCTTTTGGCTTTTAGGGGGAAGTTAATTCTAAACAAATGTGCAAAAACCTTAACCAGATAGCGTGTTGTCGGTTATTTTGTTTGAATGTGTGGCGCTCTCCCTGTTGTCCCCGTCTTTGGTCTATACCGCTCAGCCTGAGGAAGAAAATATGAATTATGAAATAATTCTAAGTGGACATGCGCGTTACGGGTTTCTGTCATGCTACACGCGTATTCGCTTCTGTCGATTCCCGGAAAGCCGCTGACTTTGGAAAGGAGGCTGTTTATATCGATTGCTCCTTTGTTGAGGTGGATTAAGATTACTGTTGATGGACCAGCTAAACGACCTTGGCTACTAAAGTCAAGAAGTTAATTAATTGAGAGTTACCTGAAAAGTCAGTTTTGCCAGTAAGTGTACATGTTAGTAACGCGCGAAGCAGTAGCTGTGTAGCCTCTCTTTTGTTCTTAATTAGTAAGGAAAAAAGAGTTCTGCGGGTGAGATTGAAGCTCATTAGGTTTGAATCCATTGCCAATCCCTCATGTAGAGTTTGCAGACAACCTGCTTGACTGGAAATCTGCAAGGATCTTTACATTTAAGCATTACTGATTAATTGTGTAAAACAAAGTAACGTACAACAGTTTCCCATTGCCTTTATTCAGAGAATTTTTCAAGTATGTAGGTCCTGAAGATAAATTTCCTCCTAAGTTCCTTAATCATGTACACTTTATTTTGGCTTAAATATCACAGTGTTTGAAAACCAAGAAAAAACACTCCTTGTACAATACTTTAATCCTTAAGTAAACGGAATCTTACACGGTTGGGTTGATTTCTCCCTAAAACGTCCATGTAAAATGCCCATGAGGTTAGTGCTAGTCCACAGTGCCATTGGTACCGCGTTTACAACTGCTACTAGAATGTGTCGCTTCCATCTTCTTCGCCAAATAGCCATTACAGCCATGTTCTGATACCGAGTCTCAATCGCTAGAGAAATGCTGGTGAACACCCACTCAATCGCGAGCGAAACTGCAGTGTGAACTGCAAATAACTGAAGTAAATTAACGAATGGCTCTCTCCTTAGGTATATAAATTGATACAAGTACAGGTATCCATTCACAGACACTATAGCAGTTGACTCAAACAACATGCTCATGATAGCGATATCAGACATTAGTCTTTCACGACGAGGAGTACGAAAGCTTCCCCAGGGAGCTAATCTTTTTTCTAACATCGTATGTACAATTTGATCAAGCAAAACGATGGTGCTTCGTTCAATGACTTCTGCAGCGCCGTGAACTATTCCAAGAATAGCGATGTCTAGTAAGCTTCCAAGATCCGCTTGCAAAATTCGAAAAACGATCGCTGCGCCACAATACAACGGCGACAAAAAGACGTATGAATAACCCGGATGTGTGATGTTATATAACTTCTGAACGCAAATACGAGAAGTAAGTTTAACAAAAACACCGGCCAGGGGAGCGAATATCGCAATCAACAGTTTGCCATTTGCGTTTTCGTCATTATATGCTGGATAAATTAAGGAGGCTACAAGGAAAAACGTCAGGAAACAAAAGCAACTTGGTACTACCATTTGGAAGAACAAGGCCACCTTCTGCTTCGAGTTTGTGCAGAAGTAGTTCGTTAAAACATACGTTTGTAGACATTGATTGATAAGGAAGCAAGTGTTGAGAGGAACTTTTTGTAAATTTGAAATGTTGGAGTGAGATACACCAAGAGCTTGGAGGGCTACGCGATAAATTGTGTCCAAAGAATACGAAAGAACACAAATCAGCAGCAGCTTTCTTTTCACTCCCATCAACTGAAACGGACGAAAAAGAAACTGCAAAAGTACAAAGAACCAAATATACAGAAAACTACAAGAAACAACATCGGACATTGATCTTATCCACTGAACTTGTATTAAAGTTGAGTTCATGGGGTGGAACTCACAATTTTGCACAGTCCTAAATGATAGATAAGTAACCATCATGTAGATTGTTCCTATGAAGATAGCGGTTACAATCGAAATCAACGCACCAATGTACATTGATTTACAAACTGTGCAGATTACGGACGGTCTCAGTCGCTTCCAAGCCATGCCTCTGTCACTATCTTGCCGACCTTGAGTTTCTTCGTTTTCTTCTGGTGAGCATGCGTCAATCACTTTAATATCGAGACTTCTGGAGGTTAAATAGGTTAGGCTTATGGCTTCTCTGTCGCTGTATTCTTGGTAAATAAGTTCATCAACAGGATGACAATACCACTCTCGTCCTGTACTTTCCAGGGGACTGTAACCAAATGATTCGACCGTGAATTCAGGTTCATCTGGATTGTAGTATTCGGTTACGCCTCGTGTTAAACTATTTAAGATATGACCAAACACCTCTAACAAGGTACCAAAGGTCATTTTGCGAACGTCAAGGATAAATCAGAAGTATTACCGCTGAAATAAGTCTCTAGTTGTACAAGCTTAAAGTGAAATGTTAAAGCAGAGGTGGTGATACATCATGAATCATACTCATCAAATCTAAGAAATGTAAACCGAAACAGTCAAGGGTATCAGAGAGCGCATGGTTGAGATAACGTGATACTTATCGACAAGGAAGAATTTCGTTTTCAATATGAATGATAAAGAGCTCCGATGACTTTCAGTTTGCGATATTGTTTACTATTTTGGTCAAAAACGTCATTTTATCGTAATTAACGCCAAAGGTGAGTTTTCAGCATTGAGTTGATGGTGTGTGAATAATCAGACCCGGAAATCATCAGGTTATTGTTTGCTACAAAGCTTTTTATTTAAATTTCCATCGATTTCTTTTGTTGAAGTTTTATATTTTGTAGTAGGAATGTAGACTTGTCTGACGAGAGACAATTTATTTTTCCTACTTTTTTAAATAAAGGAAAACGGAAGTTTAAAACTAATGACTCTTTCATGGAATGTTTTGTTAGATGTAAAAATTGCTAAAAAAGGAAGAATCTTAACATTGAAGTTTGAATATCAAAGTCGCGTCCCTGTACAATTTCTCAATGTCTCAATAAAAGACATAAAACGCTGTGGTTATCCCGGCAACTTCATAAAAGAGTCTTCAAAAACCATTAATAATTCATAAAGAAATATAAAGCAACTCAGTGTTTAATGAATGTCTTTACATCTGATAAAGACACGGCTACATTTTTCGTCCAGTTTTTTAGACTCAAAATAACCCCAAATCTAAATATTAATGCAAGAATGAGTTGATCTTTTTCAGAGATTTTGAAGCCCTTCAAAAAACTCGCAGTCGTGTATTATCAGGTTTAAATACGCGAGGCGAAGCCTCACTCAAGCATTAACCATATTTCGTGTTTTACTATCACAGGGACCCAGATACAAGCCTGACTTTATACCTACAGACTTCCGGAAGCCAGGCCAACTACATTGGCACATAATTAAAATATGTCGGTTTCTAGTTAGCCATTAAATTTGCTAAATATGGAAGATACTTCCTTACCAAGAACTCGATCCAATTATCCTGGCTGTCTTATCAAACGCTAACACTTTGACAGGTTTTCATGTCCTGGCACCCGTTTCTCGAAAGTCTCGAAAGCTCGACACTGTGTTGATTTGAAGATAGTGGTTTCAATAGTTTTGCAACTAATATGATAATACTGTCAGTTAATGGACTGTTTTGTTAGCTAGGTCCAGCACTTTTATTATTTAGATTTTGATTTAAATATTTGATCAGTTAAGGCCCGAAAAGTTTCAGGGTCTTTGACTTTCGAGAAACGGGCCCTAGCTGAACCTCAATCATTTAAATTAATGAAGTTTGTAGGTTCGAACCTGTGAAGATGACATTTCAGGTCCTGAACTTGAGCAAATACGTTTTAGCAGCTGTGAATATAGTTATAAATTAAATTTTTCAGCCTCCAACCCGACGTTGTTTTACTTTTATGTTGAATTCTCTTAAATAGGAAAGATTGAGTCACCGACTTTGGTGACCTTACCAC